CGTTCACGAGGAGTCGGGTTACGAGGAGTCGGGGGTAGTCTCCTGCCCGGACAGTCTGCACCTGACAAGGAGGCGATGTTGCAGCGGTACGGAAACCAGCGAGCAGCGCAAGTCAAGAGTGTTGCAGCTGAGGGAACAATACTTTGTAGTCTTGTTAGCTTCATGTGGTCTAACCGTAGTCTGGACACGCCCGTCCGGTTGCCTCCTTTGCGTGTCTCTGTCATAATAGTGCCTAGAGGGAAACCTATGAAAGTTGAAAATAATCCATCGGTCATCCGGCGAGCGTGGTCGTCTACGGCAAAACATCGGAGAAGATACAGAATCAACATAAATATGTACGGGAGGAAGGACGGCGATTGATGCGGTTTAGACAAGCTTCCAAAAGGTGTGAACGGGGATCCAGACGACGTCTTCCAGCGACAGGTCAGGATAACAAGCCGAGCGAATTCGGGCAGGTAGGAAGGCGACAGTAGGACGCAGGACCATGTTAAGGAGTTACTGGCATCACCCCATCATCGATTGTCATTGGATACAAAACCATTCGTGGTTTGTTGCATTCGAGATTCAAAAGCGTTCATGGATTTGGCCATGGTAAACAAGCATAAATCAACGGGGCGCGGGTGGGGTGGCTAACGTTTGACATACACTGGTTGCATCGGGCGTCACTCCCGACACGGTATTTTGAAACATCGCTGCTCCCATGCTGATTCGCCTAGCAAGTATTAGATGAACTCACATGTAGCCGTGTTGCATTACTGGGGTATGTCGGCTGTCCACATCAATAAGACACACCGCCATGGCTGGCGCGGTTATCGTGCCGGTTTCGCCAGCAAAATAGAGTCGTCGTTCGGTTGTCCGAGTTATTTGATTATGATGGCGGGTGCCGAGGCGCGGTTCGCGGTCGCCGACGCGCGGCCGGTGAAGGTGGATTTGGAAGTATCCACGGCACCGACGGCAACGCAGGAAAAAAAAAGCATCGGGGGAAGGTTGGGTTGTGGCATGTGGAAGATGTGACGATCACGCCAAAGGGGGGACGGACGGAGGGCGTGGCCACCAAAGCGAGCATCACAAAGCAACAGCCGCCCCAAACGAATCCAACAGGCAGCAAACAAAACAACAGGCGCGAAGAACCCCAATACAATGCGGCAAGCATTCACGAACAACTCCGTCGCTGCAATCACCACCACCACCAACGGCAGCAACACCGGTAGCAACACGCGACGCATGCCAACAGATTCCTGTCGGGCGACACTTGGATGCAACTCATGTAATCTAAGCTACGTACAACGCGGTGAAAATGTTGTACACCAAATTCAAGCGCCATAAAGGGTTCGGCGGCCGCCGATCACAGCCATTGCGTCCGAACTTTTCCACCAAACTCGGCCAGAAAGCAAGCGCCAGCCTAACTGGGTGCCAACGTGACAACCCGCAGGAAGCGCCACCCAAATACTGCCAAAAGCATGCATACAGTATCGCCGGGGTGATACTGACACTGAGGGGTTGCTCGTTCCGAGTATCGAACTCAACTGTTAGCATCCACGGCCCGGTAGGTGGCGTTGCTGACAACACCATTATCGTCCCGGAACGATAGCGATAACACCGCGGCTGCATGGCTGAAGTCTCCCCGACACACTCGGCCTAGATAGGGCCCAAAAGGCGGTTGGGAGTAATGGTAGGTGAGTGGCAGTTTTTGAGATTATTCTCGTTGCGGGGACGAGAATGGTGATCGGGAGCTTCCTGAACGGAAAAAAAAAGTACTGCTACCATGCATGCGAAGTCTGCGGGACGGCTGGTCATACCGCCGCACAAGTCAAAAGTTAGGTGGTTCTCCGTCGGTCAGATGGTCAGTGCTTTGTGTCTTAGGAACGACATTGAACTGCGGGGTGCCTCACGAGGCTCACCAAACCCACAGGCACGGTCATGCTTGTGATGTGTTTTGGTGTCGCCGATACACGTCGATGGACGGCCAAAACAATCAGGATTCGACGCCAAATTCGTACACCAACACACAACGGACATATATGTCTTCTGAGACTGCGGACTACAAGCACTCTAGCTTTTTTCAATCCGCACTGGCGTCTTTCATAGGCCACCCAGTTAGGCCGATTGATGCAAAATCAGAGAAAAAACACACAAGCGTTTACGCTGGTCACGCCACCACAACTGTTTGGGGCCTGTTTCCTTGTTTCATTCTTTGCTGGCAAACGCCTGCCTCTCTCGTTCTCTCCCACGCTTGACGTTTTTGCGTTTGCTGGCACGTGTGTTGTCTCATGACACAGCCCACAACCCTCAAAATCACCACCGTCCTGCAGCAGTACCACACCATGTATTATAGTTACACTTTTCAATAGCTCTCACCGTTGTAATTCCACTCCACGCTGGTCTCCCCGCAATCCTCCTGCTCCGGGAAGAACTGCATGCTGTAGCCAAGCTTGGTTTCGTCCGGGGCGCTACCGAAGCGCCAGTCCAACATCCTTAACATAGTAAAGCACGAGAGCAAACATGAAAACACGTGTGCACAGAAGACACAACCAAAAAGAAAAGGCACGCAGCGGCAAACATTTCCCCCAGGAAGACAAACACAGCCAACACCGAAAGAACCAAGGAAAAATCATCGACGAAAAAAAAGCTCTTGTACGCAGCTTCCACGGATTCGCCCTTTCGCTTTATCTGAGAGTATGATTGTGAGCCGCAGGCGTGCATGGTTGTTTTGGCAGGGGTAGCTGAGTATGGTACCTCGTGGCACCTACACACGATGGGCACCGACGGCGGAGCGGAGGTGGACGAGTACAACACATCGATAAGGACTCTTGAACACGAGAGAAGAAAGGAAATAAATCTGAAGGAAGAGCTTTCTCAAAATCACACTCACGTAGTCCCCGGCTCCACGGCAGCATCCTGACAGGGCACCAACATCACCAGCGAATTGCTGCACGCACCAGACGCCGGGCGAGCCGAGCACAGAGAGTCGCATGTCACCGCCCACCCGCCAAAGGAGATGGCAAGATGCCAAACAAGCGTATGCCGTGACTGACTGAGACAACTCTTCGCACGGGGAGAGTCGGTCGTCAAAATAAAACATTTCGTTCTCGGCTTTTTTCTCATGTTAACGCCAATTCTCCGTCCGCGCGCGAGGCATGGTGCGCGGCAGCGCGCATCGAACATCGCCGCCTTTCCCCCTTATTCTACGCACCTCCGTGCGAGCTCGCCGTTTCGTGCACCTCTTGTGCGGATACGGAAGGTACCATATGGTTGGTGCTGTGAATTGTACTCCAAAGGCGTTCCCCCACCATTTCACTCCGAACAGCAAAATGTGTTACTTGTTTCCTCGCCGATACTTCAGTGCTACCAATGGTGCTGCCAATGGCGCTGTCAACGGTCAGCCCGTAGGAGCGGTTGGTAACACACAGAAACACACCCCAACCAACAGTAAAGAATACAGGGAAGCGTTTGCATGTGGGAATGGGAACTGGTTCGAAGCCTGCAATCATGGGGGGAGTCGGGCGGGTAAATGCACATGATGAAAGTGGGGTGGCAAGAAAAGAAGATCGATGTTGACCACAACGCAGTGTTTGGTCAATGGTTGCATGTTGCTGTAAATCAGAACAGGCACCGAGCCTATCCTTCAGCAAACACACACATACACACATTCTGGGCCACTAATCCACCCGAATCGAAAAACGCGTGAGTGTCCGGCTTCTAACTTTGCCAAGTCTGTGGGGCACGCAATCAGAATAAAAAGGTTCACAATTTCCGCCTAGATCAAAGGGAAATCGTACGAAACCGTCGTCGTTTTCTAGGTTGGCGTTTGGAGCAGTGGATATCTGCTGGCACTGCAAAGGGGACGCGTACCGCGTTCTTGAGAACACCAACATAACTATCAAAACACTAAGCCATACGAATACGGTGCGGAACAACACGCGTTGGATGCGCAAATAGAGCATGGTCAAGGGGTCCTCCATTTAGGTCACATTTTGACCGAATCCCCCGGGTCTCGATTTTTTTAACGCGCTATCTTGAGCGGCTGCGCGCGGGATCCCACACAGAGCTAGTGGGAATCATGGAACACCTCCAGGCTACGGGTTAGTGTTGGTCGCGAGGAGCGGGGGGTCTATTGTATGGTAGAGGAAATAAATAGACGATACATAAGCCTGTATAACATAGAGTATGATAGGAATGCGGCACGAAAGCCAATGCAATTAAGAGTATATTTACGATGAACACAAAAAAATACTATACAGTAGACTACTGCAAGTGAGCCGCCAAAAGTTACTGTGTTGCGTGTCAATCTTGGCCCGGGGGGGGGGGATGGGGTGTTCCACGGATTCCACATGGAGGGCACCTTGGCATGGTTGTTTGCTTGAATAGGATGTCAACAACATCATGATGGGTGGGGGACACTCAAGCTCAGGCGTGAATTTGCCAGTTGCTCGAAAAAAAAAAAAAAAAGCGTCTCGTATACCTAGTCCGCACGTGCTGAAACCCAGGCCCAAACTCTCTCCACTCCAGACTCCTCTTCCATGAACCCAGCAGATACTCGTAGATGTTGTCGTCCGGAAGTCGGTACCGTAGCTGCGAGGAATGTGTTG